TTTGGTTGGACCCAGAGTGTTTTCACTGCCGGGATGGGACAGTTCAGTCGTGTGCTGGTCTCTGGTGCAGGGGTGGGCAGTTTTTGGAAAGGACCTTTCAGATCATGGAGTCCAACCATCAGCCCAGCACCAGCATGGTGTTCATCACTAAACTGGCTCCTCAAGGGTCACAGGCACTTGTTTTACAAATGCTTCCAGGGGCAGTGACCCCAGCACTGCCCTGGGCAGCTGGGCCAGGGCCTCAGCACCCCTAACAAAATACTGAATGCAGGGGAGAAGAGCTGCTGCTGCAGTTATCAAAGTAACTCCTGCATTTTATGGGTTCCTTTTATCTCTTCAAGCTTAATGTTGGCTTAATGCAGTTGATGCCTATCATTTAGAAACCCAGTTTATATCCTCTTTCATAATTATACTTCTCAGTGTTTGGTAATGCTCTTTATACCTTATTTAATCTTTTTGTTTTGTCAGATGGCTGTAACAGTAAGTCCATAAAAGCAAGATGAGACCAGACCTTTTGTCATTTGGTTGCACTTTGACATATTAATTTCTTAACGTACAGGAAAATAAAAGAACTGTTTGTGGACAGCAGTAAGAAATTTGTTTTGATCTTTGATTTTAAAATAAAATTCTCTGTCTCACAACAGTGGTGTAACCTTTTGCTGTAGATTTGGCAGTAGAGTTTTGCTGCTAATGCAAAGGTAATAGTGTTTTCTTGAATAACTAGACCCCAAAATACAGTAGTAAAAAATGGCCAGGATATTTCTCAAACCGTAGAGACCATGTTTTATGGGAGGGGGTGTTTGTTTCACTGCAGGGATGAGCCCTGTATAGCAAAATGCTCTTCTGTTTGCCAGAAAATGCTGCTCAGTGTAATGTCTTAATTCCCTAAATAATTTCCTTCTAGTACCGACTGCAGGGTCCTGCGTGCCCTGAAGTCTTTGTGGTGAGGCACAAGAGCAGGGAGATGTGCACTCACCACTGCTACTGCTGGGAATGAAATGAAATGAAAGCAGAGGCATTCCCAGCTCCCGGGATGCAGGGAATGGCCGTGGCTCCCAGTGAGGCAGGGGGCTTTGGGGGGTCCTGGTGGGGCTGGCACCGAGCCATTCCCTGGTTACTGACACCCGAGTGCATGGGGATGGGTTAGAGGTGGGGGATGGAGGGTGGCACCGGCTCATTTGGGGGGATTAGTGCTGCTGGAGCGGCCAGAACTGCCTGGCAGCACCGGGCTCCGTGGGCAGGTGGGACCCACAGTGTCTGCCTGGCATCCCAGGGCTCGGGGACATCCCGGGGCTCGGGGACATCCCGGGGCTTGGGGACATCCCGGGGCTCGGGGACATCCCGGGGCTTGGGGACATCCCGGGGCTCGGGGACATCCCGGGGCTTGGGGACATCCCAGGGATCAGGGACATCCCAGGGATCAGGGACATCCCGGGGCTCGGGGACATCCCAGGGATCAGGGACATCCCAGGGCTCAGAGACATCCCAGGGATCAGGGACATCCCAGGGATCAGGGACATCCCAGGGATCAGGGACATCCCAGGGCTCAGAGACATCCCAGGGATCAGGGACATCCCAGGGATCAGAGACATCCCAGGGCTTGGACACATCTTGGGGCTCCATGGCTCTCCTCCTGGCCTCAGAGGCCCACCACGTGCTGGGCAGTGTGGCCACCCGAGAAGGTCCAGCTGGCACAGACGGGTTTGTATCTGGTTTATCCTTGGGTGCAGAAGCAGCTCCTCCCCTAAGGAGAGGTTTGTGTTAGGAGTGATTCTCATGGCTGAACTAAATTAAAAATGCTTCTGAATTCAGGTCTGTGTTGCTTAAAGGGTTCTTTCGGGAGGAAAAAAAGTAGACTGGTCTTTCATTATTAAATCCCATTAAACTCCAGGATGTCTGTTGGGATGATTTTAGACTGTCAAGTTTGCATAACTCTGGACAGAAGTGAGTGTAGTTTTTGAGGGTTTTTAATTTTAAATTAAAGCTTCAAATATCATAGAATCATGGAATGGTTTGGGTTGGAAAGGACCTTAAAGAGCACCCAGTTCCAAACCCCTGCCATGGACAGGGACACCTTCATTATACATTGCATAAGCATAATTTTTAATTTAAACTTCCAGATTAATTTTCTTTGATCTTGTAACATAAGTTACATCGTGTTCTAGTTTACCTTAATAATTTTCAGGCTTTGAGCAAAAAATGCACAGCTAGTCCTTGTGTTAGAAGAATATCTTTTAATGGGAATCATGTTTTGCTTCCTCAAATTTTAATCTATGTCTGCATTGAGGAGCTGCTTCATTGACTCTGTATTCCTGGTTTATCTACAGGATTAGATGTTTTTCTGGAACCAGCTTCCCTATTCCTTAGTGAGATCCTTCCTGAGCTGCTCTTCTGGAGCTTTTTTCTGCCCTGCACTGCTCAATACCTTCCCTGATTCAGATGCTAATGTGTGGCGTCTGGCAAGGGACCGGCATTAGCATACTGAGAATAGATTAGAAAAAGACCTTTTGGATTTGCGTGCCTATATTTTATAAATAGCCTGAAGGGGAGGATGGGGTGTTTTGTAAATGGTTTGCAGAGCTGAAATCCAGTGGGCCTGTGATTGCTGTGGCATTTCCATTACCCCAGTCCCTTCTTGAACGGGGAGCCTTTGTTATTAACACCTACACAGCAGGAATGATGCCATGAACTCTCTTACACGTTTACTATTCTTTAAATGTTTGAATTCTCATGGTATTTCCTTGGAATTGGGAAAGTGCAAGCAGCAAAGACGGTGCTCCCTGGAGCACTGGACCTACTGCAGGTGGGGTTTGGGAGGTGGAGGCTGTTGAGTTATTGGGCAGGAACTGAGTTTCTTCCACTTTGTGAAGGAAAGTATTTTAAAATCTATTCCCTATAACTGAAATCTGCCTGAAGCATGAATGTGACAGCACCTATAACAATTCCAAATGTGATGTAGAAATGTTTAGGCAATTGAAATGGTGAAGAAAGAACTGGATTGCTTTTTATGGCTTTTACTTTCCTGCACAGTTTTGTGGGCTGCAGTTACCTGACTGTGGCCCGTTCTCTGCTTTTCTTATATTGAATAACTGGTTTCCTCCCTTGGTTATATTGAATAAATGGTTTTCTGCCTTCTGCTGGCTGTTCTCAATGGCATCTTCGTGAAACTGGGCTGGGAATTTTTGTCTGACAACTGAGCTGGTGCTAATAGAGAGACTTACTTGAGAATCAGTTGTTTTTGTAAGACTTTCACCAGTCACTGCTAGCCTTAGGTGCAAAGAAGCAGATTTTCTGTGTTGAGTAGCTTGTTGCTAAACCTCTTACTGAGCTAAAGCCCTGCTGGAAGTGATCTCTCTATTAGTGAAATCAGAAGGTGTGTGTGGTGTGTGTGCCAGGCTGATGGAGTAGGGCACGTTTGTGTATCCACACTCACAGGGAGGACCTCATTTCTGTGCTTGTCATGGTAGGAATCCAAGGCAAACCTGATTTAAACTCAGTTCCACAGGGAAAGGCTGGGTCTGCCAAGGAAAGGCATTCCTGTGTGGATGTACATAGAGAGTTTTAGAGATTATTTTTGCTTCAGTTCATCTTTCTTCTCTCAGGTTCTGAGTTTTCCATTTCTCATGGTACAAATGTTTGTCTTCCTGGTACTTTGGACATCTTCAGATAGATCCAAGTTAATGCTGGCCCATCCAACATGTGGATATGGTCTAACATCTCCTTCTGGCTTGATTTATGTCACATTTGTGATTTATCTTAAAGCCCTTCCAAACTCATCTTCATTCAGCGTGTGCTGATCCAGGGGCTGCCATTATTTATGGACATAATAAAGGACACATTTATTGCACTCGTGATGCTTTCAGAAGAGTTTGGTTCTGTTCAGCTCAACCTCAGTCCCCTCCTTCCTCCAAGAAAGAGAAATCAGGAAAAAGACTTCTGATGGGGTTTATTCAGCTCCTGGTGAGTGAGGGAGCCAGAGGAGTTATTCCAGCATCCAGGGCTGTTCATCCCTGCTTTGCCCAATGTTTAGATGCTGCTCTGACTGCCTGTGAGTGTGTCAGAGCTGTTGGGAGCTGGGAGAATAAATAAATCCCAGCTCTGGCAGAGAGGAGTGGGAGTGTGGGTTAGTTTTAGCTGTGACACTGAGGAGCACTGGAGAGAGAAGTGCTGGAGAGAGGAAGGGTGATAAGAAATAAAGACAAACCCAGAGAGTTTATTTGGGAGCCAGCCAGAGTGTAAACAAATCACCCAGGGAGATGAATTTGGAGTGATACCAAGTGAGGAGCGGCTGTGAATGGATAAAACCAGAAGGTAATTTAAGAGCGTGGATATATACTGAGATCAAGAGGAAATGTTATCTTGATCCTTGTGTTTGGAAGGCTGCAGGAGGGAGGGTGTGAGATGAAATGGAAGAAATGGGTTTATTTTAGTCAAAACACAGAGGAGGAAAGAAGCCTTATCATCCAGATGGGATGAGTGGATAAAAGGAAATCGTCCCAGTGCGTGTTCAAAGGTTGGTGGCAGCATGGAGAGGGTGTGAATGTGTCTGTGTGTTTCTGTGAGCAGCTCTGCCAGTGTCACAGCATGAGGGACAAACTCCAGGGCTACTGAGCCCAAAAGACTGCGGGGTTTGAATGAGGATCTCACCAGTCCAAATACATGGAGTGCTGGGGTTTAAAATTACACCACTGTGTGTAGTAAGAGAAAACAAATGTAAATAAGATGAGCATGAAACAACTATAAAACGTTTTCCTTCAACATAGATTAAAGTTTTCTTTGCCTCCTTTGTCGTGAGGGTGTTCTGACCACTGAGCTATTCCATTTTGCTCTGTGGAGAAGGTGGCAGTGAGGAAGGAACAGTCTCCCAGCACTGCCCACTCTCTGTCATGTGAGGGTCAAGTCAGAACTGGTGTGTGCCTGGCAGAACGGGGCACCCGTTAGTCATGTCATCAGTGGATGAGGTGGTTGTTCAGTTGAATTTATTCTGCTCTGCCTCACAGTTGAAAGATGCATGAGTGTGATGCAGTCTGGGACACAGATGGTGAAGCTCAAGAGTGGAACCAAGGGGCTGGTCCGGCTCTTCTACCTGGACGAGCACAGGAGCTGCATCCGATGGAGGCCCTCCCGGAAGAGCGAAAAGGCAAAAAGTAAACTCCTTGTAATTTCTAATTTCTGGGGCAGTTCAGTGTTAGAATGTAAATTGCAGGGTCTCATGGGCTGATGGGAGACACTTGGTGTCTGTCTCCCCTGCTCCCTTTCTGTAGCCTCAGCCCCGTGATGTTCCAGGGAGCGCTCAGAGCCTCTGGGGCAGCTGGCACGTGGCACAGCCATGGCAAGGAAACCTTCAGTCCAGCAGGGCTTTGGAATGTGAAGGTGTAAGATGAATAAAGTTTAGCACCTCTGAGCCTGAATAACTCAGCATTGTGAGAAGCAGGAAGAGGCTGGCTGGCAGTCCCAGCGTGTCCTTTGGTTTCCCTTTCCCCCCAGTTGTTATCGACTCCATTTACAAAGTCAGCGAGGGCCGGCAGTCGGAGATCTTCCACCGCCACGCCGAGGGCAGCTTCGACCCCAGCTGCTGCTTCACTATTTACCATGGGAATCACCTGGAGACCCTGGACCTGATCACATCCAACCCCGAGGAGGCTCGCACCTGGATCACGGGGCTCAAGTACCTCCTGGCCGGGATCAGCGACGAGGACTCGCTCGCCAAGCGCCAGAGAACGCACGACCAGTATCCTTTGAGGAGCCAGGCCTTCCTCCTGGTTCATATTCCTGCCTTGCTTTTCACTCACTTCGGCACAGGGTGTCCTTTCTCCTCCTACTGAGTGACCAAAACCCTTCCTCTGATTGCAATGGAAACCTGAGCAATGGGTTTGGCATGGACACCTAGGTGTGTGATAAAGCATGGGCTGTGCCTTGGGGACTGGATCAAACTGCATGGGAGTCAGGGGATAGGCTTGCATTTTGTTAATGAATTCCTTTCTGAAGGGACAGACCACTTATTTCTAGTTATCTCAATATCTCAGGAACTCCTGGCCATCTCTCTTGCTGTTCTGTAAATCAGGTGTCCTTCCCATCCTTCACTGTTTGTCAGGAGCACAGATCCCTAAAACTCCTTAAATGTTTGTTGTAACTCAGTAGCCAAAGTGAACCTCATGTCCTCTGAATATTTTCTTCATGTGCCTTTTTTTTCACAACAGTTTTTTTTCACAGCAGTGATGACTAAAATGTTATACACAAAGAACACTCTTCCCCCAAAAACCAAATCTCAAGGCCATCTTAATTAAAATTGTAACCTGACTGTTCTCCTGCCTCATGGAAATCTCCAGTGGTACTCCTGGAGAAAATACATATTTCAGGTATTTTTAATTTATATCTCCCGTGTTTGATTCTGATCCACAGCAGGCACAGGCCCATTGGGGTTGTATTGCATGCTCTGTTGCACCTGTCCCCAGCTTGCTGTATTTAACCATGACTTTTCTGAGCTGCTCCTGTCTGCTGTATCCTCTTCTGGTGAAACATCACTGCAAGTCCTGTTTGTTTTAGCCAGTGTGCCAGCTGGGACACTGCACACAGAGTGGCCCTGTCCCACTCCCAGCTACTGCAGGAACTTAGCAAGGGGTGCTGAGGGATATTTGTGCAAGGAGCGGGTGAAAGGTGCTGGTTGGGAAGTGAAGTTCAGGTAAATGAAGGGACAAGTGGAAGAAGATCCCAGAGTAAGGCCAGCAATGTTTGAAAGCTTTAGAGCATGTTCTCAGAGGAGGAACCAGCATCAGGAATGGGAGTGCAGTGGTGAGCTGAGCTGTGAATAATTGCCATAAACCAGTTCTGGTTTTAAGCATTTGACTGAGCTGTAGTAAGGGCAGGGGCAAAAGGGACTCTTTCCTGAGCTGCCCCTGCCTCCCTTCTCCATGAGGAGATCCCCTGTGTGCCTGTCCTTGACACGCTGGCAGCTGGGTGAAGCAGACCTTCGAGGAGGCTGACAAGAACGGGGACGGGCTGCTGAACATCGAGGAGATCCACCAGCTGATGCACAAGCTGAACGTGAGCCTGCCCCGCAGGAAGGTCCGGCAGATGTTCCAGGTCCGTGCCTGGGGGAGGAGGGGGCAGTTAAAGTCCTTTTCTGGGCAGATCCAGAGCAGAATCTGCAGCTTGGGACTAAAAAACCCAGCACCTCACAGGCTTTTTCAAAATCTTACCTTTTTGTAGACAAAGAGGCACCAGAACATTGTTTAAATGACATGAAGCACACAGAAAAGTTACCAGTGTTTCTGCTGCATTGTTGGTTTCAGCTCTGTGAACTGAATTGTTCAGTGCTGGTATTGATGGATAATGAAGTTACTCTGACTTGCTACTGAAATATTTTTTAATTTCCTTTATGGAAAATTATTTAATAGATACTGGCTTTATGCAAGTAATTAGTTTTGGTTTTTTTTAACAGCTTCCTCATATTTAGCCATTCAGATTTGATTGATTTGGAATCAATTTTTTTACTTCTGTTGTCTGAAAACAGCTCCCATTTTCCACCAGTTCTTATGTTTACTGTAGGAAAGGACAGAGAAGCCAAGGACATAATGGAGAGCAAAAAAAGTGATCTTCACTCTTCTAAACCAGTACCAGCTCAAAGCTGGTTTGGTGTAAAACATAGGAAAGTTGAAGAATTTTCTATGGTCAAAAGTGCTTTTTTTGTTTGGTATAAAATCCCCATTAGAGATACATCTTTGGAGTCTGGAGTTACTCCCAAAGACCTGGAAACTGGTGGGGTGGTGTTGCAGAGATTAATTTGGGTTGTGCTTGTTCCCACAGATTATAAATGTCATTTAAGGCGTGTAACAGATATAAAATGATTAAAAATCCCGTTCAACACCAGCTAGCTGAGAATTCTATTCCTCTCAGCTGACTTGCTGTGATAGGAGTTTGCAGTCCTGTTTTGCATGGAGACCCACACAGTGCCTGCCAGCCGTTCTCCAGAATATATTCTTTGTTTGGAAAATCCAAAGCAATCCTCTTAGGCAGATGTTCACAGGAAAAAGCTTGTATTAGTGTGTGCTAAGTACTGTTTTCTTCTCTTCCTACCTCTGAGGAGAAACAGCAAATCAACACTGGAGATGCTGGGTGTATGTTCTGGTGTGGAGTCTCAGTGCTGCTGCAGAGCTGTCCCCTCTGCAGAGTGCTGCAGATTAAATAATGTGCATTTACCACTCTGATATTGTCCTGAATGATTTAAGATACCAGTCTGTTGTTGGGGAAGCCCTGGGTGATATTGTTATGCTGTGTTTTCCTGCAGGATAACTGCAGGGCATACAGGAGGGCAAGAGATCAGAAAAAAGACCAGGGTGTGAGCCTCTTTATTTCTGGGGGAAATAAATTTGAAATTAGAGAAGGAAATTAGAGTTTCACAGGGAATCTGTGGCTTTAGTTTAGTAACTGTCTTCACCAAAAACCCCAGAGATGATGATGTAGTTTTGCTGTCATTTTAGCCTGTCAGAATTTGTGTCTGAGCAATCTTGCAGACTAGAATTTACTACATTTCTGCTGGAGTACACAAGTCCTGCTCTGTTTTATTCCCTGATTTCTCCTGTGCTGAGCATGTTTACCTGAGTGTTGTTACCTCATAGGAGGCAGACACAGATGAGAACCAAGGAACCCTGAACTTTGAAGAGTTCTCAGTGTTTTACAAGATGATGTCCTTGCGTCGAGATCTCTACCTGCTGCTCCTAAGCTACAGTGACAAGAAGGATCATCTCACTGCTGAAGAGCTGGCTCAGTTTCTGAGGGTGGAACAGAAGGTATGGCAATATCTGCACCCATGTCTGAGCCCATGTGCTTACATTCAAGTGCAGGGAAAGGATTTTACAGAAAATAGTAACTTGGGGCGGAGGACAAAGCACAGATGTGACAGGAGAGAGTTCTGAAGGTTTTATTGGTTTTTGAAGTGCTTCTAGAAAGAGTTTGAGCTGCTTTGGATGATGTTTGAAGTGCCCAGGACGGAGGTGTGAGAGGGTGCTCAGGGACCTGGAGCCAGACGAGGAACATGTGGCAGAGGTGGGGGAGCTGCCTTTGGGGGTGCACAAGGACATTATGGACCTGCTGATGCAGCAGGAACCTCGAGCTGACTGTGAAGTCTGGCATTCTGCATCCTCTTTGTGCTGTGTGCCCTCCTGAGAGCACTGCGTGGGCAGAGCTGTCTGGGGAACTGCTCTGCTCAGCACTGCTCCAGCAGCAAACCATGAAGAGTGAAAGCAGGAGCTCCTGGAGGTTCACCTGGAGGTTCACCTCTTGCCTGGGCAGGCTGGAGGCACCTTACACTCCCGTGCCCCTTCACAGTGCCCAGCAGCTCAGGGAGATTCCCCTGAGTGTTTCCAGTGCCAGCAGCGCCCTGGGGCAGGGCAGCACTGCCCCAAAAGCTGCTCGTGCTCCCAGCCAGGAGGCAGCTCCCCAGTGCCCTCACCCAAACAGCATTTTGGTTTTGCCGTTTGGAAAATCTGTGGACAGTCTGTTCTGCTCCATCTGCTACTCATTTGGCAAGATGTTAAATATTCTGCAGCCTGATGACAGAACAAAAGCGGGTTGGGGATTTTGTTAGCTTGCTAAACTGGCTTCTTTTTTTGGAAAGCTCCCTGTTTAGGAGAACACCCCATATTATTTTTAGTGGAGTACTTTAAAATGTAACAAAAAAATGAATGGCCACAGTCATCACCTCTCAAGCTGCAATTAAAAAAGCACAAATGAGTGGACTTTTCCCCAGCAGATGTAGCTTTGGACTAGGTTAGACATTTCCATTCCTAGAGCACATGAGAACCCTACACTGGGCCAGCAAGAAGCCATGGGGGATAATGAAAAAGTTAATTTGAGCCAGCTTATACCAGAACAGGGCCTGCTCTGAGCAGCGTTTGCAGTCAAACACCACCCTGAGCAAGGATAATCAGTTACACTTTTCTCCTGCATTGTTCTTTTTCTATTCTCCTGTGTCATTCCTGCAGCATCTTAGGATGGTTGGCATAGTACAAACAGTGAACAGGATGATGGCACAAGCAAAGTGCCAGAGGTTTGACTGCCAGAATTGTCTTCCTGTGATGTTGGTAGTGGAGAAATGAAATCCACCCAGTCCTTGTTCTCCCTTTGGTTCTCTACAACTCAAGGCAGTGAGGAAAGATGAGATGAGTGGTGGGAGCTACTTCTTTCCTTTAGTTCTGAAGGAAATAGAGGTGTCTATTTGTAAGTGCCCTACAAATCAGTTAGAACCTCAGCTGTGGGCTAGCTGAAGCTGTTGACAAAATTCCTATTTGTTTCAGAAAAGCTGCTGTTTTTCATTTCAGAATTTAATTATTTCTCTCCTAGCCTGTGTATTACAGTGAACTCCCTTGGAAGTAATGAAATCATAGGAGTGGAAAAAGCATGAAAATGAAATCCAAGCCTGCCAAGTCTTTTTGCATGTCTAAGAAGATTATATTAAAGAATATAATGTCATAGCTCTCATTTCAGCACTATTGGCCAGTACAGCTATTAAGGCTGCTAAACAGCTAATTTTAATCTTGAGACTAAAATGATGTAGGTTTTAATTGATGGCAACCTCTCACTCCTATTTGTCTCCTCCAAGTGGATTTTCACATGTTGGTGACATTAAAAATAAGTGTACCTCCACTGTTGTTTCTGTGCAGATGAATAATGTGACACCAGAATATTGTCTGGACATCATACAGAAGTTTGAAGTGTCAGAAGAAAACAAGAAGCAAAATGTTCTTGGGATTGAAGGTAAAAGTTTTGATTTCAGCATGAGTTTTGTCTTGCTGTACTGCAGTGGAGTAGAAGTGCTTTGATGGTGTTTTGGGGAGGTTTTTGCTATTTGCCTGTGACACCAAGTCCCCTGGATCAGCAGTCGGGAGCGTGGGTGCGTTTTGTGAGCCAGGGGGGAGATGAGAGTAGGTGTGGTGAGACAGCAGCTCTCCAGCCATCCATCACAGCCATCCTCAGGAGTGGGGATGGATGCCTGAGGCTGTGGGGATTTATTGCTCACTCTGTGTTTGTAAGACAAACACAAACTGTACCATGCAGTTTATCTATAGCCTGTTCCCAGAGAGGTACTGAAAGCCAAGTGTTCATTCTGCCTTGGCTCTGGGATCTGGGATCCTGCACAATCCATTCATTTATGCTTCTGTGAAATAAAGTACAGATAGTTGCATTTTCATCGGGTTTTAATACCTGACTCACATTGTTTTTGAAAGTAATTGTAAATTGTATGTTTATTCAGAATCCAACTTATCCAAATCAGCCTCAGAGCTGGGATGAAATAGATTAAATGCCATGGTGTGTTCCTTTGCCCAGAAGGAAGCTTCTGTGGAGCAGCATAATGTACATGGTGATTTGGGGAGGGGGGAAGGAGGAATCCTCCTCCACGTGGTATTTAAATCCTGGCTATGGCCTCCCTTCAACAAGCTTCAGGTGTGACCCAGGGCACTGCACTCAAACTGAAATAAGGAAAGGAAAACAAACAAGCTGTGACACTTAATATTTCTGCAAGCATTTCTGCTCCTCTTAACCTGCTGCTGCCGCTCCTTTTATCTCTGAGCTGCTTTCAGGGCTGGTATTGTTTGCACTGTCCTTTGCAAATATTTTACATTGTTTCATTCTTAAAGGAGGTATTTTTAAAACTTTCTCTGTTCAGTGCTACTCTCATTTAGAGGGTTATAAATCAAGTACCATCTTCTCGAATAAACCTGCAGAAAAAAAGAAAATAGTGAAGGTGGCTGGGTCAATGAGTTGGCTGCTGATCCACAGTTCTGCTTTGGGTGCGCTCCATCCATGCTCAGGGCGCTGCCGTTCCCAGCACGGGAGTGCCAGCAAGGAACTCTGCTCAAAAAAGGGCATTTGCTCCTGAGCCAGCCTGGCCTCTGCCGTGCCCCAGCTCTGTGCCCACTGTCCAGTGCTCCTGAGCCAGCCTGGCCTCTGCCGTGCCCCAGCTCTGTGCCCGCTGTCCAGTGCTCAGCTTCGGGAGGAGCTCGCAGCGTTGCTTCCATGGCTGACCATCCCTCTGTCCCCAGGCTTCACCAGCTTCATGCGCAGCGCGGCGTGCGAGGTGTCCAACCCCCTGCACCGCCAGGTGCACCAGGACATGGAGCAGCCCCTGTGCCACTACTTCATCGCCTCATCCCACAACACCTACCTGAGCGGGGACCAGCTGCTCTCGCAGTCACGGGCCGAGATGTACGCGCGGGTGCTGCAGGCCGGCTGCCGCTGTGTCGAAGGTGGGCTGCATGGGGCTGCATGGGGCTGCATTGGGCTGCATTGGGCTGCATGGGGCTGTACGGGGCTGCATGGGGCTGCATGGGGCTGCATGGGGCTGTATGGGGCTGCATTGGGCTGCATTGGGCTGCATTGGGCTGCATTGGGCTGCACGGGGCTGCACTGGGCTGCACCAGGCACAGCATCACCACTCCCAGCAGCGATGCTCTGTTGGCTCAGGCGCTGCAGCACCTTTTGACTGGATTTGGAAAAATTCCAAACTGGATTTTTCTGTTGGGAATGATCACCCAGCGCCACAGGCACCAGAGAATCACAGAATGGCTGGCGTTGGAAGGGGTTCTAAAGATCATCCAGTTCCAGCCCCCTGCCGTGGGGGATCGTGGAGATCACACTGGGTTCTTGCTTAAGCTCTGCATAATTTAAATAATACAAAATATTAGTGGTTTTATATTAGTATTAGTATTTTTCTTTTCCAGAAATAAATAAAGTCCTTTACCAAAGCTAGACTCAATATTAATTTTTTATGACTAGCATTACAAAAGGTCATCTGGAAAAAAAAATATTGTTAATCTCTATTTAAAAATTAATTAGAGAAAATGAACCTGAGAAAACTGGGTGATTGCCTTCTGCAGAACAGCTCCCAAGAACACTCAGCAGTGTTATTTTGCTTGACCTCAAAGCTATTGCAGCTACTTCAGAGCCCAGGGAACAGCTCTGCAGCTTTCTTCTTGGGAAGTTTAACTGCCTGTAGAGGCAGCAGCAGTGACAAGTTTGGTACAAATTCAGGGTACAGGCATTCATTAGGAAAAGCATTCTTATGTCAGTCCATTCTCCGTGTGCTAGATTGGCTGCTACTCTTCATACAGTCCATTATAAAGCTGCAAGTTACACTGGGAGTGGGAAAAGAAATCCTTTTAAAATAGTTTCTCTTCAGAAGCAAAACCTACTTTTCTAAGGTAGCTGTAAACATAATTTGACCTATTACACCGCTGTAGTTTTATTTATGAGGATAAAACCCTCAGATTCCCTTTTACAAGGGAAAAAGCAGTTCTAGGATGCTCTAGATTCTCATCTGACCTAGGAAAAGACTGTCCTGTTAGTCTGAGCTCAGCTGGCAGGTTGGAGGAGATGGAATGAGAGGTGGAGTGAACCTTGTTGGCCCCTGCAGGGTTGGGCAGGTGAGCTCTGCTGGCAGCAGGAGCACAGGAATGGATGAGACTGGGGGCATCTCTTAATGTGTGGCTTTTCTGGTCTTAACAGTGGATTGCTGGGATGGCCCAGATGGGGAGCCAGTGGTGCACCATGGCTACACCCTGACTTCCAAAATCCTCTTCCGAGAAGTGGCAGAAACCATCAATAAATATGCCTTCATCAAAAACGAGTAAGTGTGGAGCCAGGTTTGAAGCTACACCTGTTTTCTGTAGTTAATCCCACATTCAAAACAACATCAAGCTAAGGAAGTGCAAATATTCCTTTAAACACATCAGGGGTGATTCTGTTCCCCTGTTTATTGCCCATGTTGTGTTATTGTTCAGCTGCATAAGCTCTTCCCATCAACTGAGGGAGAGAGTTCTGCCTAAACTGAACCTTTTGTGCTCTTAAACTCAGTAAGGCTCTGGACAGTCTGACACTGCTGATTATCTTTCAATAGAACTTCCCACTCACATCCACAGGGAGATTCTCCTGAAAAATCAATACTGTGATGTTCTCTACCTACTGGAAACACTTCATATCGGCAGGAAAATTGAAAAGCTGTCATGTGTAGTGTGAGGAAATACTGAGGTGTGGGATAGTGTTCTGAATCTGTTTGATTTGCCATGGTGCTTTATAACAGTTTATTATGAAAGCTGTGGACTCTAACCATATATATATATATATATATATATATACACACACACACTCAGAGTAGTCTCAAATCATGAGTGGGTGTAGAGAATTTTGAGTAGTTTAAAGAGAATAAAAGGAAAATACTTCTTTTTCTTTATTAAAACAAAACAAACCACATAACAATGGATGTGTGGGGAAAAAAACAACCAAGCCCAAAAGTTTGTTGTTATTGATGAGAAATAAAAAGTGATACTTTCAATACTAAAAGAGGTGGTTTTCATTATTCGGTGTGGAGTTCCTTGTCGTGGAACTCTGGAGCTGCCAAGAGTTTAGGAAACAGTGGGGTGGTTTTGTGGAAGAGCTTGGCTGTTCCATTCACAGGTGGAGTGGTAAGAGTGCAGGTGTTGTCTCTCCACACACAGCTGTGACAGTGTCTGGGGCTTTGCTTTCAGGTTTCCAGTGATACTGTCCATTGAAAACCACTGCAGTATTCAGCAGCAAAAGAAGATTGCCCAGTACCTGAAGGAGATATTTGGTGACAAACTGGACTTGTCATCTGTGAGCACTGGAGATCCCAGACAGCTTCCCAGCCCTCAGGATTTAAAAGGGAAAATCCTAGTGAAGGTAACTTGCTGCTGGGCATGTTCAGAATGCAATGAAAGTCAGCTTGTGATATTGTAGATTTTCTTTGGAGGACCAGTTCATATCCCTTCAGCATCTAAACATTATCTGACAGTCCTTCCTTGGACAAAGTACTTTGTAGTGATAGAAAAGTTAAGACTTCCTGCCCTTCCCCTTGCCCAGCTCGGAGCTGTAGCTGATGGGGTGGAACTCTGTTCATGCTTCATCTGCCATGTTTGTGGGAGAAGAGCAGCTCAGGAGGAGCTGGAGGAGGCCCTGGAGCCCTGGAGTTGGTGCTCTGTGCAGGATTAATTGTGTGAGCCTCTCACTCCAAATGGATTTGCTCTGAAAGGAATTCCAAAGGCCAGGATGGATAGAACAAGGAAGGAGCATAAGGCAGACCTTTGGGAGGATGATGAATAGAGTTCTGCCCTGTTAGATTGACTAATTACCTGAACACAGGGGGGCAATTACTTGTGTGTGAACTCTCAGGATACTCTGGCTTTCCCTCTGTCCTTGGTGTCAGTCTGGCTGCAGAGATTCCCAGTTTCAGTCTGATGTTAGTTTGAAGATGCTGCAGTGCACAGTACAGAGCTGGCCCTAAAGCAGGAGCCTTTTGAGTGCTCAGCCGTGATTTTGCATTTTACTGCAGCAGTTTCCTGGGGTGGCTGCTGGTTAATGGACTGTGCAAACACGTGGGGCTGGTGTTTGGGGGATCCACAGGAAATGGTGTGCAACATCACTCCTGTGAGAAATCCCATGGCACTGCACTTAAGGCAGGAGGGGCTGGGTGCTCTGGGTTCTTACCTGAACTTCTGAGCTGGCTTTTCAGCACATCTGAGGTTGTAATTTCAGTGATCCTCCAGCTCTCACTGCTGAAGCCCTGTGGGTACAGACTGCTGTGGAGCTGAGCTGTTTTCAGAATGAGAAATTCTATCTCCATCATCACAGGATCTCTGTACAAAGCCCTGTCTCCCATCCCCTGCTCAATTTAAGCAGCTCTATTGGAAAAGATAAAATAAGGTTTAGGAATCAGTACCTTGTTGAGAAGTAAGCCAGCTTCTCATCTTTTTGCTATTGTTTTTGCTCTTTTTATACATTTTCCTTTGAAAGGCAGTATTGATTCACGACCCACAATTTCAAATAACGGCATAATTTCCATCCTGTAAGGGTATATAAAGAGTCATTCTAATAACACTCAGACTTGAGCCAGTGTAAAGGTACCAGCAATGACCCACTCATTAGCAGCAACCTTATTAATTTCAAAATGCAGCCAAGAAATCAATCCTCTGCATTTCTACAGAAGTCTGAGTGTCATTCCTGTCTCCCACTGATGAAGCAGGTAGGCTGAGAACACTTCTGTGCACAGAAGCAATATCACAAAGGATTAGTAGGTGATTTATTTAGAAGCAGATGGTAAAGCAAGAGGAGCAGACTGAGTGCACTAATTAAACACTGACCACATTTATTGGGGTTTTTTTCTCCTCATTTTAGGGTAAGAAGTTGCCCTGCAGCCTTGGAGCAGATGCTGAGGAAGGAGAAGTTTCAGAAGAGGACAGTGCTGATGAAATCGAGGATGACTGCAAGTTAAAGCCCTGCTTTGTATGTGCACACAGTCAGTTCCCAGAGTGTGACAGCTCTGCATTTCTTATATGCATACTCCATGCCCTACTTACAGTTGTTAGCAGAGTTTTTCATTCCTAAGTTTTTCACTCCTGTGTCAGGTTCATGCTGTTCTATAGGATTTGTTTTTATTTTAAGTGTCTTATGTAAGAGACTGGTTTGAGTCTGTATAGTCTGGATGACTGTTAACAGGAATTGCTTCCTTTTTAACTGTTTGGAGCAGGAATGTAATGCTAAGGGTGTCTGTAAGTGCATTAGCTGGGAATTCATGCTCTTCTGAAAGACAAGGTGGGGCTTGTGACAGCTGTGAGGCAGAGAGCCCATGGCCAGGTCCTGAGGGATGTGCGGGGGGACTGTGAGCTGAGTTGGGAGGGGAAAAGGAGAAGGGAAATGGCAGTGAAAGCCACAGGTAGAAAGGGCAGAATCAGGCAGGATTATGCAAGGAGTGTTTTCTTGCAGAGGGAAGGAAATGGGTGCACTGTGTGACCCTCAGTGTGTACTGGGATGGACATGAGCACCTACTTGAACTGGCTTTCCTGGTGTCTTTCAGAGCAATGGTGCAACTCAGCACCAGGTGGAATCCTTCATACGAACGAAACTGGAATCTCTGCTAAAAGAGTCCCAAATCAGGGACAAAGAGGATCCTGACAGCTTCACTGTGAGAGCTCTGCTGAAGGCAACTCACCAGAGTTTCAACGTGAACCTCAAGCAGGTAGGTGGGCTCTCCATAGCCCCTGTGAGGCCTGGACAGTGCAGACTGTTTCAGGTGAGAGAGCCAGGAGCAAACTCTAGGGACATTAAATACAGAGTGAATTTTCTGTGGAGATGTGCTCTTGGGATGTATTCCAGCTTTTTTTACTGGTCATTTATTTTCCTTCATTACTGATCTGCATTTGATTTTTCCCAAATAATTGCCATTAAAAGAAGTAAAAATCTGCTAAAGATTCTTTCGACATGTTGCAGAGACTTCCAGCCTGGGCTCTGAGCAAATCCCTGAACACAGGTTATTGATTTTGCTGGGTCCCCAGTGCCTTCACCGTCATGAAAGCCCAACGTGGCTCCAGCTCAGCACTGAACAGGGAATAACTGGAGTTCACAGCTCTGAAATACTCACCCAGCTGAAATGCTGGGGGAATATTCTTCAGTTTTGTTTTGCTCTTCAGAAGATGAAGGGCTGTGTGTTCCTGACAGAAGAAGCGAGATGCTGCCAGGAGTTATCCAGCTGATGTCTGGGGGCATGGCTGGGAATGTGGAACTCAGCCCGCAGGCTGCCTATGAGAAGTCCACATTTATCTGCTAGGAGATTCTTTTTCCTCTCCCCTTTCCCTTTGTGGCTGCTTTCAAAAACACTCAGACGTCTTGGTTTGTTGTTTCTTGCCTGGTTTTGCTAGACTGCTTTTTCTACATGGCTTGTTGTTGCCTTGAGTGCTAATGTTAATGTTTTTCTTTACAGTCAGAGGGTTCTAAACTATCAAATATACAAAGAAATTAGGAAAGCCCTGTAATGAGATTTTGGATTTCAATTTTTTCACAGATCAGACTTTAACTCACTTTGTCTCTTTTGTAATAATTTTACTTTCCTAATAGTGAGCCAGAGTGACATACAAGAACTTGTATGAGGTTGAAATGCTGCCTTTTGGAGACTGTAGCAGATTCTTTAAAGACATTTTTGGAGATATTTAGTTACACTTTTTATTGCACTTTTTCTGCACAGAACCTGGACACAAAAGAAGGTGGAAAAAAGTCTCATGGTCGATCATTAATGGGCAACTTTGGTAAACACAAGGTGAGTGAAATAAATGAGAGCTGAGGTTGCTGTTCTAGGTCTGGCAGCATTCCAGAGACTCTGGCAATGTTTTACTGCTCCAGACAAGCACGGTGGGCATGGGGGCAGTGAGGAGGGAGCCTGTGCAATTACACTTGTCTTAATTCTGTTCAGAAGATTGAGAACCTTTAAGATGAACAAAAACTTCGTATGTGGCTAAAAGATCATCTTCACTCATGCTGTGGAATTGCTGATGCTCTGATCAAACTTGCAGCAGCAGAAGAGCAGCACAGACAAATGTCTTGGCATATCTTGTTTGCCACAGAGCTGAAGGTGCCTGGGTCAGTCAGGGCCCAGTTTTGCTGTGCCCCACCATGGGCAGGGCCATGCTGGGACTGTCCCTGCTCCCAGGGGCTGCTGTGGCTGAGTGCTGGCTCTGGGCTCCTGCTCTGTGCAGATGTGTTGTGGCTGATCTCCTCCTGGTTTTCATGTCCTGGTTATGTTTGTGCAGCTGCTGGGTGGGAGTGCCTGCTCTGCTGCTCCTCAGTGGTGTCAGTGCTGGCCCAGGCAGGAGCTGAGAGCTCTCATTTCACAGCTGGGCACAGAGCAGCCCCCACAAGGGACAGTGCCCACGTTTCCTCCCATTCCCATATCCCTGCAAATGTTCTCCTGTCATCTGCCTCCCCTCTTCCCACACTCCCACACTGCCCTGAGCCCTGGATTTACAGCCTCAAGCTGAGCTGCTCCAGCTGCCAGCTTCCTTCCTGCTGGGGTCAGGGGGAGCTGCAGTGGGTGGTGAGGCAGGTCTGCACTTCAGCCCAGTCCCTGAGCCCCAGCCTGCCAGACTCTGCTGTTCCTGCTCTGTGCTAGCCATGGTGAGAGCTGCACCGAGCTTTGACTGATAATCTGAGCAGTTTTTTATGATTGAGACATTTCAAAGAACTTAATCAGCCAGCAGTCCATCTGTCCTGAAGCCAACTAGGAGCCATCAAAAATCCCTTAAGCAGACAGCACCAGGACTCATATTTACACTTCAGTTCCAAGCTTGCATCAGTTTGAAATGCTCATGCTTCCTTTAGCTCAGTGCATGTCACCCCTCAGGCTGTGTTAAGAGCTCCAGGTGCCCTGTGGTCCCTGAGAGTGGGCAACCTGTGCTTGCTGCTGGCCACACAGATGCTGGGAATGAGATGTCACAGGCAAACATCAGCCACTGGAATCTGCTGGTTATGCTGAGGGCTGGAAAGTCTGTCAATAATTTAATTATTTCAGCTAGTTATCCTAATGGCTGTAGCAGGTTGGAAAGCCCATTCATTCCATCTCTGATGAAAAAAATAAGGGTATATATAGATTTATTTTTTTTAATAGTAGTTGTATTGTAGACTGAGGCAACAGAGACATCCTGTAACTGCCCCCTGATGCCTTTCCAGCTGAAGGGATGCCTGGAAGACTGGTTACTATTGATATTTTCGCAGATACAGAATTATCCACCCAACAGTATTGACACTTGATGTTTCCAGCCAACTCTTGTGCCACATGAATAAACTCTTTAAAAACTACCAGGGGAGGTACAAAGACACTAAAGCTGGCAATTCCTGAAAGTTAACTGCATGAAACATGATCAGTGCAGACCTTCAGACTCCAAAGTGAACCATGCAAATGATTTCCAATATAGTCAACTTCATGTCAGCACCAAACACAGCAAACTGAATTATCTACAATACAGTGTATGACAAGAGGAGGAAAGAAATCTGTGCTCAGTGAGCCATATGCAAAAGGATAAGGAGCTCTCAGTTATACTAATTACCTCTTGATGAGAAGGGAATTAAATAACTCTCCCTTGAAGCTGTGTTTAGCATTATATAAGATGTAATGTTGAAATTGGAAACTGTTAAATCATAGGTGCTTATGAAAAAAGGAGATTTTGAGGTTTTAATCCTTTTTGTCATAGCTATTTTCTTTATAGTATAATAATTTAGGATCACTTGAATATTTGTATGTGGCTCAAAATGGAGCAGGAAGATGGTGTTTGAACATTTTGCCCAGACTCTGTTCACACCTTTACTAATGAATACGTTTAATTTTCTAAACTGGGGGGAAGCACAGGTAGGCAGAAGCAGTGCTCTGTATGTTTAGACCCTGCTGTGTGCTGCTGTTTGTTAAATATGACACAACCCACTGGGATTTCAGCAGGAGCAGTGCCCTGGAGCCAGGGGAGCAGTGCTGTGCTCCGGTGTTGGGAGGGAGCAGGGCAGGTGCAGAGCACAGAGTGACCTGTGCTGGACAAACCCTTGGCAGAAATAACACCCTGGGGCCTGGAAGCACACAGAAATAACACCCTGGGGCCTGGCAGCACACAGAAATAACGCCCTGAGGCCTGGAAGCACACAGAAATAACACCCTGAGGCCTGGCAGCACACAGAAATAACGCCCTGAGGCCTGGAAGCACACAGAAATAACGCCCTGAGGCCTGGGAGCACACAGAAATAATGCCCTGAGGCCTGGGAGCACACAGAAATAATGCCCTGAGGCCTGGAAGCACACAGAAATAATGCCCTGAGGCCTGGGCAGCACACAGAGATAACGCCCTGAGGCCTGGGCAGGCTGGCAGCACACAGAGCTCTCATGGCCACAGCCCAGGACCCGTGCCATGGGGTCCAGCGCGCTCTGTGCTTTCCTTCTCCACACAGGGAAACTCTGGCCCAGCCCCAGAGGTTCCTTTTGTCCCTGGAGCCCCACACCAAGCACAGTACCGGGGGTGTCCGGAGCCCCGAGTGACTGACCCCGCTTGGCTCTTTCCCCACAGAAAGCTGCAAAGGCAGCAGCCAAGGCCCACAGTGCCTCGGACGATGAGGACGGCCAGCAGCACCCTCCTGGCAAGGAGCAGCCCCACAGGTGAGCTGGGAACCCTGCAGGTAAAGGCAGGGCTGTTCACTGCCAGCAGCTGGCAGGCTGTGCCCTGAGCAGGGGATGTGTGCTGGTTGTGTCTGGAGCAGGGGATGTGTGCTGGTTGTGTCTGGAGCAGGGGATGTGTGCTGGTTGTGCCTGGAGCAGGGGATGTGTGCTGGTTATCCCCGGAGCAGGGGATATGTGCCGGCTGTGCCTGGAGCAGGGGATGTGTGCTGGTTGTGCCCGGAGCAGGGGATGTGTGCTGGTTGTGTCTGGAGCAGGGGATGTGTGCTGGTTGTGTCTGGAGCAGGGGATGTGTGCTGGTTGTGCCTGGAGCAGGGGATGTGTGCTGGTTGTGTCTGGAGCAGGGGACGTGTGCTGGTTATCCCCAGAGCAGGGGACGTGTGCTGGTTATCCCCAGAGCAGGGGACGTGTGCTGGCCGTGTCACACATCATGTGTCAGCCACACAACACAGCTGTCGGGGTGGGATTGCTGTGAGCCTGCAGTTTTGGCTGTGTCACCTGTCACAGGCTCAAGCAGCAATTACCCTGGAACTGCAGAGAAGTGTGACATTCCCACTCATAGTCCCTTTGCTCATAGAAAGATGCCAGGCCCTATTTCACCCGCTGCAAACAGTGCTCAGAGCAAACTGCAGGTTAAAGAAGATGCATCACAGCCCAGACAACTTTATTGCATCTGAAAATGGAAAGAAAAAGCAATCTAAAAAGTGCCACTGAGAATGTGTCTGCTGTCACTGAAACACTCCTTGGTTTGTCTAAAACAGCCATGGTGAAGCTATTCCATCATGTTTCAAATGAAAAATTTTGTGTGTATGGGTTGTGGAGGTAGAGGGGAGCAGTCATCCCAGAACCCTCTCCAAAGAGGTTTCTCACACAGGGCTCCCTGCTCACAGTTCTTAATTTCCTTGTTGTTGAAAAGAACAGGAGGGGGATTTAAAACAGCAGAAAGAGGGATTGAAATGTACCTTCAACACTGCAAGTGCCTGTTTTTGTTTGCTCTAACCCAGCAGGCTTGCCCGCCGCAGGAAGACAGTGAAGCTGTGCCGGGCCCTGTCTGACCTGGTGGTGTACACCAACTCCGTGGCAGCCCAGGACATCGTGGATGACGGTACGGGGCTGGCACAGGGCTGGCACAGCCCCTGTCACTTGTGAGAGGAGGGGGCTGAGTGCTGCTTTAGGGTGGCACAAGGGCAAAGCCAGAGCCCAGCAGGGCACTCCCTCCCTGGCAGAGACTCCTCTGCCCCTGCTGCCAGCAGAGGATTTCGCTGTAGGTTCCCCAGAGCTGCCACGTCTGGGGTCTGCAGGAGGAAAGGCTCCAGCAGGGGCTCTTAAGCTTGGGCTCTTTAGCTGGAGCTCTTGCTTTGCTTTCCTCTCAAGCCTGCAGACTTGAGGGGAGAACCACAGACCCTCCTGGAAGAGGGAGCTGGTGCCTTTCAGTTACCCAGGGTGCATGATTTGTGTAAGACAAGACAATCTATCCTGTAACACTGGACTAAATCTCATATTGCCCTTGATAAATAGCCAGGTGATGAGGTCTGGGCTCAGGCCCCATGGCCCAGGATTGTTTGTCACCTGTCTGTTGTTGTACCATGGCACACAGGCTCCACAGGGAACGTGCTGTCGTTCAGTGAGACCAGAGCCCACCAGGCAGTGCAGCAGAAGGCTGAGCAGTTCATGCTTTACAACCAGAGACAGCTGACCAGGGTCTATCCCTCAGCCTACCGGATCGACTCCAGCAACTTCAACCCCGTTCCTTACTGGAATGTGGGCTGCCAGTTGGGTAGGAGCTGCATGAAAGACTTCCTTCCCTTTCAGTGTGTTTGTGTATGATATTATCATTATTAATGGCACCTCACTTCTCTCTTTCAGTGGCCCTAAATTACCAGTCTGAGGGACGTGTGATGCAGTTAAATGAAGCAAAATTCAGGGTAAATGGCAACTGTGGTTATGTCCTCAAACCTCAGCAGATGTGCAAAGGTAAGCTGCCAGTGTAATTATCACTGTAGCTGCCAGGCCTGTCACAAAGTGTCCTTCACAGCGAAGGCACAAGAAAGGAAAGTGCAGACAAATATACAATCTTTTTTATTTCCATGCACTCATAGCTCTTAGACTTGTACCAGTGTGCAATCTCTTACTGTGATCATATATATACATGTATATTTTGAAGCATTTGCTTTATTAACATGTGTTTAAAAGGAGAAAAAGGGGTCCTAGGATGACCAGCTGCAGGAAAGTAGAATGAGCTCTGCAGTGGCCCAGGAGCAAGTACTCAGGGCTTGGTCCAGCTCTGCCTTGGAATCACATAAACAAGGGCTGCTCCACTCAGCAAAGGTTGTAAGAAAGAGGAGAATTTTTAAATTACTGAGCAGCTGCTCCATACTCATAATTTCTCATTTCTGACTGAATTTGTCTATCTGTGTGTGTCTTGTGGGGTGATATTTATTATGTGTATCTTGTTCCTTACCCTCTCATTCTTGCCATCTTTCAGGCACATTCAACCCCTACTCTGCTGATCCACTTCCTGCCAGTCCTAAGAAGCAGCTTATCCTGAAGATCATCAGTGGGCAGCAGCTCCCCAAGCCTCCTGACTCAATGCTGGGGGACAGAGGAGAGGTGAGATGCTCCAACCCCAGCAGATGCTTCCAGGGGAGCTCCTGCAGTGACATGGCAGCGTGTCAAACCTTCTCTTTATTCAAATGCACCAGTAAATTTCAGATATTGTCACGCTTTTGGTCAGTAACTACACTTCCCCCAGCCTGTATCCTACTTGTCTTGTTTAAGGGCTGATTTATTTTGTATTTTAAAGGGTGACTTTTATAAAAATTAGTCACAGCTGTCCCTAGTTCTCAATGCAAACCATGCATCACCATGGACTTCACAGAACCAATTCCCATGATAGTGTTGCTTGAAAATTCTTGTGAGTCAAAGGGGTTTGAATTCTCATATGAATTTACATCAACTTTCTCCATTAATTTTTTTACAATTCACCTTCATTTGCATGGCTGGCTTGCTTTTAAAATGTTGTGTTTTTAAATAACAGATAATAGATCCCTTTGTTGAGGTGGAGATTATTGGGTTACCTGTTGACTGCTGTAAAGATCAGACCAGGGTGGTGGATGACAATGGTAAGATAATCTAAGTGATTTTTTCTTATCAGAGTAAAATATATAACAAAAATAACAATAATAACAATAATAATAAGCTAGTATTAATAATTAATATTAATTTATTATGGTAATAATTAATAATTAATTGCTTTTGTTTTTAAAGCAATCCTAGAGGCAGATATATCACATTTAATGAATGACATGATGGAATTGTCATTGCTGCTGCTGCTTGTGTCCTGTGTCTCTTGGGAACTGAGGCAAGCACTTGCTGTGGACTTGTTTCCCAAAGTGTGTCCTGTTTGTCCTGCAGGGTTCAATCCTGTGTGGGAGGAGACCCTGACCTTCACCATCCACATGCCTGAAATTGCCCTGGTGCGGTTCCTTGTCTGGGACCACGATCCCATCGGGAGAGACTTTGTGGGGCAGAGAACTGTGGCCTTCAGCAGCCTCGTGCCCGGTGAGTCCCCCTGTTCTCCTGGGCATGGGAACCCACCCTCAAACCCAAGGAGAACGTTACCAGCATGAGAAGATAGATTTCATAAATGTTTATCTCTGTGACTTCATGGGAAGCTTGGACAGCTCTTCTGTTCCCTTAGGGTGCTTTATGCACCGTTCCTCAAAGGAGTTTGGTTGTCTGTGCTTTGGGAAATAACTGCTGGTGTGTTTTTTATAACTTGGATGCAATTTGTACTGGGGCTGGGAAAACCTGTGAGGACACCAGAGAAGTTTATTAAAGGCACCAGGTGGCTTCCTGTGTATACATCACTCTTATAGACAGTCATTGCTAGCTGGGCATAAAATGCAAACTGCTGGTTCCTGGTGGTGCTTTGTGTGGAAATGTTTCTATTTCTGTTTCCCCAGGCTATCGCCACGTGTATTTAGAAGGACTGACAGAAGCTTCCATATTTGTTCATATAATCATTAATGAGACCTATGGAAAGGTAGGTACAGCTGGAAATTTACATCTTCCTTCTGATAAGAATGGATTTAAATGCACCCCAGAACCTCCCAGGATTTGTGTTGGAGTGCCCAGGAGGCTCAGAGCATGTGGGGGTTTCCTTGCAGCAAAGAAACTCCACCATAGCATGACTCCACTCTTGCTGTGCACATACTTGCAGATGTTCTTACTGTTAGCACCCAATAATTATCTTGTCTAGATACAGGAGGTACATTTCTTCAGTGTGCTACACTGATCTTATTTTGGAAGTAGATCTTGAGAACTGTAGCTGCACCAGAACATGATATTTGACAATCTATTTTTAGCAGCTAATTTAATTAATTTAAATTAACCTAATTTAATTTAAGGTTTTAGTGCATAGGTTTTGCTTTTCTGCAAGTTTGCTAGTTTTAGAATGTTTTTAAAGTGAAAGTGAAAGCACAGTGATTTTTTTGTGTTTTCAGCTGCCTTCCTTAGCTGTTTCCATCTGGAGATAAGCAGCACAAGGAATTAAGGCCATGTTCAGCAGGATGCTAAAGTAAAATAGCATCTTTGCAGTGATTTAAGAAATGAAGATAAACACAAAACCTGACCTTTGTGAGGTCTGAGGTTGCAGAGGACACTCAGCCCTCAGTCTTGGTGCCTTCTTAGAGGATGCAGAGAATGTCGTGACAAACATGAACCCGAAGTTGTGCAGCACCCACAGAGAGAACAGGGAACAGAGAGAGAACAGCAGAGGGAAGGGCCCAGGGCTGAGGTTTGCTCTTGTCCAGATCCTCTCCCAGTTCCACTTCCTTTCTCCTCCCTGATCCCATCAGACCATGGGATAAGATCACATGTACTGATACATGCACATCTGGGCATATCTGTGAGATCACATCCCTTGGGGATGCTTTCCAGGGACCTGTTTGGCTGCTGCCCTTGTAAGAACAAGTAACTCCAGAGGGGAGGCAAGAGGAGCAGGAGGGGCACCCACAGGGATTGGATCTCTGTCCCTGGGTCTGTTCACCTGATGCTGCTCTGGATGACTGATGGGCTGCACTGCTGCTTCTCACAGGCTGAGTTTGTGTCCGTGAGTGAGGACATCTGCTCAGTTCTGAACCTAAGAAATAGTTTTAAATGGCTTGCTGTAGAGTGGTTCTATTTACAGCTGATGTACTGTTACCTTATTTGCTTGTGTGGAAGTCTTGAAAACATTAGCCAAATGGATTTGCATTTCTTTTTGCCTTTCAGTGGAGCCCTTTAATCCTCAATCCCAGTTACACAATAATGCACTTTCTAGGAGCCACAAAGGTAGAGCTCATGAGCATGCACTTTGCATTTGCTGGGCACAGACTTTCCAGTGATTCCCAATCGCATGATCTGCAACTGCCAAACTGGAACCATTTTCCATGCAGGCTCTGAAACATCTGAATATTGCTTTGATGAAGCCCATGCATAGAAAACTCCACGTTAATGTGCAGCCTGTCAGTGCTGAGCACTTCCTAGAGCCTTGTCAGCTCCCATTAGGAGACTGAGCAAAGCTCTCTGGTAACTGTGGCAGGCTGCCATGCTAATGAGGAGAAGGGCAGGCATGCATGAATCCATGGAGACCTGTGCTGGGAGCTCCTTGCTCAGAGTAGCTGTGAGTGGCTTGGTGTGAATTTTTGTTTTGCTGCGTTTTGAACTTTGTTGTCATCACTCATAAGCACTGTGAGAGCAGCTCTTTGCCTTGTGAGTGAGTGTGAGCTCAGGCCAGGCTGTGGTGTTGCTGTCCCTGCAGAGCAAGCAGCTGATCGGGCTCCGAGGGCTGTTCTCCAAGGCGCCCAAGGCGGGCACTGCCGAGGCCAGTGGGCAGCACGTGCGGAAACGCTCCATCGGCGAGCGCATCCTGCGGCGCACGGCCAGCGCCCCGGCCAAGGGCAGGAAGAAGAGCAAGATGGGCGTCCTGGAGGCTGCTGAGATCAAGGACAGCGCCTCTGAGCCAACAGACCTGAAGGACAAGGAAGGGGTGGTCCGGCGGCCAAAGCGGAGCTTGCAGGCGCGCCCTGCGTCCATGCCCGTGGACAGATTCCTCATGGTAGAGTTGCCCTGCCCAGCAGAGGACACTGCCCAGGAGGCCAAGGGAGAGGAAAGCACATCTGGTAAGACGCTTCCAAAATTACTTTTGGTGAACGGTCAGGGCTGCCCTTGCTTCTTTCAAGAGTACCTGATTTCTAGCAAGCACTAAAACCAGTATCTATTATGCCAAGTTTACTTCTATAGTCCCTGCTTCATTAAATCTCCAAAGGAGTGAGTCACAGAGCTCAGATCTGGCATAGAAAGACAAGGGGATTTGGTGGAGAAAACATCCAATATGTGTTTTTCCAGGAATTCAAACCCTTGCCCTTGTGAATGCTGCTTGCTGGTAGAAGGTCCAAATGAAATCCTTGTACTGTAACACTCTGCAGTAACCACATGTATAAACCACACTGGAGTCCATCTACTCGATGCTTTTGACTCAGCTTGAAGCATGCATCTTGTTTTCAAGTGTTGTGTGTTTTAACAGAGCTGTTTTGTTCTGTCTTTATTGCCACGCTTCTTTATAGTACAAATGTGACTAGGAACACAGCTGAAGGTAATGCCACGTGCAAGCTATGATGTGGTACCTCATTAACATTACTTACCACAAATATTACATCACCTGCTTGATGTAATTGACATTCCAAGGAAATTTCAATGAAGTGCCTGCAGTTGTATTTTTCCATTTATTCATGTCACTCAGATAATTTGTACTAAACCTGCACAACCCCATGATTAAGTTCTGTCACAACTGTACCTAGTTTTGCGTTCTCCATTTGTCTGTCTAAGGACAAAATAGTTGTTGACAGGGCAGAGTCTTGTATGCCACTAATATGTTTCTCATTTAATTTAGCCAACAGTGATGACAATACAAATGAGAAGGAAACAAGCTTGAAAGAATTGGCTTTTCCACGTTCGGAGCAAAAGGCAAGTGCTTCAAATTTAGCATCTCAGTTCAAGGAGAATGACCAGAGGGATTCTACAGCTGACTCTTTAGTACCACCTTCACAGGAGCAACCTGAACATTTGGTTTTTGCAAATGGTGTAGCTCAAACAAATCACCTCGTGGACTACCAGGAGAATAATCCTTCTGATGGAACTGTCCCCCTAATGCAAGATTCTGACTCTGAACTTTCCACAGAAAAATCACACCACAAAAACTGTGCAGACAGTAAAACAGATGATGACACAAAAGTATCTAAGGAAGGGAAAATCAGTCTCATAGAGACTTCTCTTTCTCAGAAAGCAGAGGTGGAGAATCACAAATATGACATGAAGAAAAGCACTGCAGCACCTCTTTCCCTTTCTTCTGCCGTGTGCTCTGAGGGCCCTGACTGTCACTCCACGGTGGCCCTGCAGGACACTGACATTTCTCACCTCATTGATGAAGTCTCTCTCTCGACTGAGAGCGAGCTGGACAGCGCTGTGTCCGCTCTCATCGGGCAGCTCGATGGCACAGATGACCAAACTCCCCTTCCCGCTGTCTCCAGCCCCCAGGGCAGCAGCAGCCAGAGCCCCAGGGCAGGAGCTGCACTCCCACACGTGTTTGCTGCAGACCTGAGCGGCCCCTGTAGGCACAACTTCACTCCCACAAAATCCAACAAATCCCCTTTATTCTCCACTCCGGACACAGCCGTGTTCTCCAGTTTGGAGGATGCAGAGTATTCCACGTACACAGTTATCCACGAGGCATCTCCAGCTTCTGAATGTAAGAGCCACAGGGCATTGGTTTGCAAGGAAAGACTAACTAGTCTAGAAAGTGACTTGCCTGGCTATTCTTGTTCTTCAGCCCTCTCTTTGCTAAATGCAAATCCCAAAAGGAATTGTGCTACAAAATCTGGACTGAGCTGGGAAGCCCCCGAGTCTGCCAGTTCTTTCAGTTCCAACAGCCTCATCTTTGAGGAGGCGCTGGGGGCCCCTGTTCCTGGGGAGCACTCGGCCAGCAGCAGCCTGCTGGAGCTGGATGGGGACTGCCAGGAGCTGCTGGTGACCGCCTGTGAGTACAGACGGGAGGACATGAGCCAGCTGGCTTCTCCTCTGAGCCTGAGGCACAAGCAGGAGCCCGGGCACGGTGCTGACAGCACCTCTGCGAGCAGCTCCGCTGCTGCGCTCTGTGCTGCTGCCCAGCACTGCTCCGAGAGCTCCAGGGCTGCAGGGAGCCCTTTCCCCGCGTGTGAGGGTGTCGGGTTTTTGTGGCAGCAGCGCTCGGAGAAGCACAAGGCTGCAGCGGGCGCTCCCCAGCCCAGCTCAGCCCGCCCCGTGCTCCCGGGGGCTCTGCCGTTCCCCCCTCACCCCGCCATCCAGCACAGCAGCCCCTGCAAGTCCAAGAGTCTGGGAGACCTGACCTCGGAGGACATTTCCTGCAACTTTGAGAGTAAGTATCAGTACATCAGCAGGAGCTTCATCTCCTCGGGCCTGAGGGACAGGAAGGTGGCAGCCATGCAGGGCGTGAGGCCACACTCGACGGACGCGCTGACGGAGCAGCTGCGGAGGCTGCTGTCCCTGGAGCAGGAGGACAGCCGGGAGCCGCTCTGCCCCAGGCAGACGGACGAGGAGTGTCCCCGGGCCCTGGTGAGGAAGCTGTCCTCCCGCAGCCAGAGCCGGGTGCGGAACATCGCCAGCCGCGCCCGGGAGCGGCAGGAGGCGGCGGGCAAGCAGCGGCCCTGCGGCAGCGGCCTGCCCGGCGTGGTGCTGCGGAACAAGGCCCCGGGCCCGCCCGCCGCAAACCGGCACTCCACCGGCTCCTACATCGGCCGATACCTGCACGGCTGCCCCGGGGAGCGCCGCGGGGTGCCCGAGGGAGCCTGCTCCGCCCTGCAGCACGGCTGTGGGGAGCTGCAGCTGCCGCCCGGCGCTCAGGACCAGCCCGAGGTGTATTTCCTGCTCCGGCTCTAGGCAGGAGCTCTCGGCCTGCTGCGCTGCACTGAGGGGCTAGCGAGGAGCCGCTCAGTTAGTTCAAAATGCAGTTTCATGCCGGTGTTCAGGGCTGGTTTTCCTGCCGGAGCTGAGGGAAGTGGGAACCTCCCTTAGGGGTGTGTGACTGGGCCGGAGCTGAGGAGCTGGGGGCGTGTTTGTAGCGCTCTGTGTCTAATGCCGTGCTCCAAAGCCTGACATTGCACTGAAGGCAATACTCCTTCCCTTGTGTCTTGTCCTCCTGCTTGGAAAAACACTTTTGGTGATCACTTTTGGCCTTTTGTGAGGATTCTCCAAAGCACTGTGGTGTCTGGAATGCTGGACTGGGGCTTGTTCTGCTCAACAGGCAGCGACCCTTCGTTAGCATCACTTGTTCTGCATTGTTATTATAAATTGTACATGTTTTCATGTATGAACTGTGATTCTACAGCAAACGGTTTGTAGAATTAGGGTTAGTCCAGATTCGTGAGTCCTGTGTAATTTGTCTTCTGCCCTCTCTACAAAGTATGACAAGAGTTGTCTTCCTTTTTCCGTTACTGTGTTGATTTGGGACAGAGTGGAACGTGGGAGTAATTCTGCTTTCATGAATGGAAACAATTTCTGCTTATTTTGTTATGTGTTTTTGCTGTTGGTTGTGTGAGTAGCTTTGGTACAGCAGATCCATTTTCTGTATATTTGTAATTTTATTGCTGAATTGTCAACAGTCAGTGGAATATTTAAACTGACATGGTAGAGTGACTGTTTTGACTGTTCACCTTTTTCTATGAAGGCTGAAAGTGAATTGGGTGAAGGAATCTCAGACACCTGAAGCTTCCCTGTAGGGAACAACATAGCTTTATTTTGGTTGGAAGATACTCTTTGCCTTTGTTGTAAGATTTTCTGATATGTCAAAGATGTACCTTTTACCTCTTTCTTTTGTAATGCAGAGTATTATTATTCTTGAAAACGTCATTAAAATAGATTTTTAAGCACTTGGTTACATGTTTTCTGGGAAAAAAAAACTTATCCATATAGATTGGTGCTGAATCCAGCAGCAGTTAGTGACTGCACACATCTGTCTTGGCAGGAGATGCAAGCAGGGAAGGTCCTTCATTTCTCAGGGTGTTTCTTGGCTGGAGGTGGCAGCTGAGCTCTGGTCTCCCTTCTGGACCAGGAGCCACATTTGAGTTTGTCTGACTGTTCCACTCAGGCTCTAACACAGGAGAGTGGCTGTGTTATCACTTGGGAGACAACAGTGGGTTTCCTAAACATTCTTTTGATGGAGTAACAGAACCAGACTGGATGAATGCCTTAAGCTTTGGACTTGGATTTCTATTTCATACCCAGGATGCAGTTTGAGAGGCGTGACTGAGGCCCAGTAAAAGTGCCTTGTAAGGAAGCAGATGTGAAGATCTCCATTGTGGGAGAAGAAAAAACTTGCTTTAATTGGAATTAATTTAGAAAAATTGTATAGTGCTTGAAGGAGGTCAGGATAGATTATTGCAGCAGTGTTTTATCACATAATCTCTTACACTCTTAATTTTAGAAGTTCATCCAGATGGGGACAGTTCTTTGTGTGACAGTTTCTGTAGTGCAGCTCAAGCCAAAAACACATCAACATTTACACACACACACACACACACACACGTATATATATAAAAATAAAATCTTTCTCCATTTTTTAGTTTAAATGATCAAGCTTCATTTTCTTTCCTGGAGTGGAAGCAATACAAACAAATGTACCTGCTGCCAATCCAGCTGCTCCTGGGGGATGTTCCTGCCATGAAGTGTCCTGGGATACCTGAACCACCCTGCTGGTCCTCCCATGCCCAGGTGCTGTGCTGTTACTGGTGAGTACTGGTGCTGCCAGCCCCGAGCTGGTGTGGGACACTGGGTCAGAAATGTTTGTGTCACTGTGAATTGGTGCTGCAGCAGCGATTTGGGGTCCCAGAAAATCCAACCTGGGGGTGATGTTGCTCTGTGCAGCAGCTCCAAAACTCCATGGGAATGGGGCCCTTGGGGAAAACTGCAAATGCCTCCTCCAGCTTTGTGCTCTGGATCATGAACTGAGGGGACACTGAGTTCAGATATTCAGCACTTCCAGAACTCAGCCTTTAAACTCTGGAAACATGTGCTGTGTGGATCCCAAGCAGCGTTGTACAGAGCCAGGGGTTTTAGACACTTGTGTGGGACAGACCAGCAAGCTGCAGTTCAGACATCTAGAAGGCCATTCAATTTTAGTCCTCTCCCAAAATTAATTAAACTGTCTGAACAAGGCTGCAGCTTGTTGAAAATCCATCTAGTGAAGACTTTTTTGGTGCAGAATCTGCACCAACAGAGAATAAACAATCACTTCAGCATAGTAAAGGCTAGTGGCTCACATCCTGGGTTAGCAGGCTTAAATTGCTTTGCCAATTCATGAAAGAAGGCGTAAATTAAGCTGCTCAAGAATCTGCAGAGAACAGATGGGTTTAGAATATTACTTTTGAGAAATTATATATTTTCTAATTCAAAGCCAGGAAGAGTCTGTAGTTACATTTATATGATTGTTTACTGGAATATCAGCTGCCCCTGCTTTAAACAGTTGTACAGAATGTTCCAGGTGTTAGGGAGCCATTCCACATCCCTCACTCCTGGCACAGGAGCCCCTGTTCTGACACTTTGGTAGGAGGGCTTGCATCCTGAGTTTCCCATTCGCATCTTAAATAAGATGAATGTGTGTAAGAGTAAAACATTTAATTTTAAAACAGCCAGATTTTCACCCAAGTTGGGTCAATTTTGTTCTGAGGGCTGATGCTCATTTGGATTTGTTTTGATAAGATTTTAATGCCGTTCCTTTTTGCAACAGGGAAAATCATGTGCAGGAGCCTCAGTCACAGACGAGACAGTGGCACAGTGATTACACTGATTACAGATCTGCTTAGACATGCAGGAGGAGAAATAAATTGAATTTCTACTAGAGATTATCTTTTAAAGTCCTATGTTGGTTGAGACAGAAATTAAAATGAACAGTGCCTGGCTGGCCTAGTTGAGGTGGAATTTTGTGTGTGTAGAAAGCCACGGAAGTGGAAATACCTTCTTTTATATACTTTAGTGTAGCTTTAGTCTAGCTATGGACCAAGACAGGAGAGTTTGCAGTCTGGGTGAGCTGAGTTAGGCCTTGCCTTGTCTCTTCTCCCAGTGCTGGCCGGGCACGTGGGCATGGCTGTGCTTGTGAGGGAGGGATGGAGGCAGGGAGAGCAGCTGGGGCTGCTGCACTGCTTTGTTAGTCCTTGCTTTAGGAACAGTTGGGGTTTTAACATCAAGACTGGTCCTTGCCCTGTCACTGCTGCAGTCCAGCAGCCTTTGGAGGGTCTGGCTCCAGCCCGAGGAGCTCGGCAGCCTCTCTGCAGGTGGAGCCACGGGGATTTGCTGCTCTGGTTCCATGTGTGTGGAAAGGGATGCTGAAAAGGGAATTTGAGGTTCTAAACAGCCTGAATTTCACCAGTCGCTTGGCTGGACACAAATAAAAATAAATCCCGATCTTCCTGGTGGGCACATTTAAAAGAAATGTGAACTTCCATGTCAGACTTCATAATGACACAGAAATAGTTCCTTTATATTCAAACCAGTGAGGTCTTTTCCCTCTCATCTCAAACCCCTGTATTCTCTGATCTAATCCCCGCACACAGGGAATGCAGCCATGTACCAAGTGACACCAGGGCTGGGAACTCTGGTGTCTGAGAGCCCCAAACTTTGGGTGTGGGGCAGCCCTGTAGCTGTGAGGGAGGGCTGAGACCTTCCTGGAGGAGCCTCCTGGCTGGGCCCCCTGCTCCCCCCGAGTTCCTGGAGAAGCTGGGGTGAGGCACTGCTGCAGCAGTGTGGGGGATTTGCAGAGTCCCTGAGCTCTCCGAGGCCTGGGTGTGCAGGGAGCTCCACTCCAGCCCTGGTCTCAGGCTTGGCTGGGGGGAGACTGCCATTCACCAGTGCAGTGAGACTGTATTTATCCCATTTCAAGGAGTAATAGACTTAGGGAAGCACATCTTTATGGGGAACAGATGTCTGGAAGTAGATGATTAATTTGTGCTGAGTTTTCAAGCACTCATTTAACTTACAAGCTCTTTAAAGTGGATTCTTTAATGTAGTGTTTCACATCTTAAAACATTTATAGTCAAAATCTTATTTCAGTTAAGGATGTGTTTGTCTAAAGTGATAGTCTTAAATTCAGTGGAGTTCTGCAAATGAACACTGCTCAGAGAACAGAATATGGAGAGTTGCAGGGTGCTGCAGGTCATGTTAATTTGACTTTATTATTTCTAGGGCTGGTAACATATTTTCAGTAACGTGAAATTTCAGCTGCATCCAAGAGGATGCTCTTGCAGTGCAGAGTTCAGCAGGATGAGGGAACACGACTGAGTGCTACATTTGTGTGCTTTACACAGTGTGAATCCAGTGTGACTGGTGCAGTTGGTGGAGTTTCCCCAGCTGTGTGCTGGGGTGGGGTCTGTTTCTTGGCTGCTTGTCCAGACTTGGTCCATCTAAAGCTGTTCCAAAGGCACCAGAGATGGAAATTTGGTTTAAAGCATGTGTCAGGTTTCTTGTACTATTTCATACCTGATTTCCAAACAGAGGTGATGCTGAGTAAGCAAGATGGTAATTAATATTCTTGTATTTATTTTGTCTTGGGATTATGATGTCAAATATTTAGAATGTGCCTGGCCTTGTAAAGAGTGAGGGTGCATGTGCTGTTTGAATTAATTTAAATAAGCAGTAGTGATATTGGCTTGAACCCCACTTTTCTGCTATGGATGCTATCTATGCCCTGGATGGATTTGGCCTCTGGAGGAGCTGCTCCAGGCTCTGGCTGCATGCACAGGGTGTGGAAGGGGACTGTTCTTAACTGGGTGCTCGTTAGCTCTCTAAAGCTAATTGAGAGTCAGAGCTGCAGTGTGGAGCTGTGGGAGCACTGGGGCCATGTGGCCCTGGTTGCAGTGGGATCCTTCCCCACCCAAACGGAGAGAAAA